TTAATATATCCATTCAAATGGGATTGGAAATAAAGCCCTTGAAGTTTGAAGTTGTAAAAAACATGCCACAATAGCTTGATGTCTTAATTTAAACACTCTGCCCTGAATAGACATAGGATACCCCAGAGATGGAAGGGATATTGGCCATTGAAGGCTTCACTTCCAAGTTTTCAGAATGCTCCCCCTGGTACCTGAGTGTTTCTGTACCGCCCCTTCCCCCTAGGTAAGTCCCACTATGGGGCAATCACATGAGGAGGTGTCTGGCTTCTTGTGTTCTGAGAATCCAGTGAGGGGAGACACCACTGCGTTTTCTCTGCAGAGCCCCAGCAGCACCCAGTACCATGTTGCAACATAAAACATTGGCATTGGCAGTCTCCTCTGGGGTCTCCTGCCTGCGTTCTTGCTTCCCGTCCATTTACCTTCCACACCGTAGCCAGAGTGATCTTTCTAAAATCAAGTCTGAGTGTTACTAGGGTCAAAAATCTTCAGTGCATCCCACTGCTGAATATACAAAGTTCAGATACTAGCTTAAAACGTACAAGGTCCTTTATAATCTGGCCTCTACATCTCTCCAGAATTATCTCCTGCCAGTCACATACAGGCAGAACTAACAGTCAGACAGCATGAACCAGTATGGCCATTGTGGCCATTTAACACTAGTGTCCCCTCTGACTGACCAGAGCCTGGGCTGGTTGCTGAAGATTTTAACTATGTTCCTTTTCCCTGGTTACTCTCCTCTCCAATTATGCCAAAACCATCCACAGTTCCTTCAAGATGTTCCTCTCCCTTTAGCAGTGTCCACCAACAAACTTCCACTCACTCATCCAACATTTATTGAGCACCTACTGTATGGTCAGCATTGCGCTAGGCATTCAGAATAGAAAGCTCAAAGTCCTGCTATCAAAAAACGGCTGGTCTATTGGGAAGAGAGAAAAGCTAAGAGAGAGTTATAAAATAGTGGGAGAAGTATTAGGATAGAGATAAAGTCCAGTGTTCGGGGAGTACAAAGGAGGGGCACTTCACCCAGACTCGGGGTTCAGGGAGCTGTTCCTGGAGAAGGGAGAGCTATACTGCGTTCTGAAGGCTGAGAAGGGGCAGAAGAAATCTTGATAAAGAGAGCAATCTGTAAATAGTGCAAAGGAAGTAAAGCCTAAGATGGGAGGTGACGGTACTGATACGAGATGGAGGCGAGAAGCTGGTGTGTGTGTGTGTGTGCATGCGTGTGTATTGAAGGGGTGCATGCAGCGCAGAGTTGGCCATTCAGGTGTGAGATTCCATCCTGACCACAGTGGGGAGTCAGTAATTGATTTTCATCAGGGAAGTGACTTGATCATATTCGCATTTTAGAGAGAATGTTCTGGCCAGAGCATGGAGAATAGACTGGAAGGGGAGGATAAAAGAGAGGGAGGAGGCTGTCGCGGGAAACAGATCAGAGATAGCAGGCTGGACGAAGCCACTAGTGTTGACATTAGAGATGGAATGGACTCAAGAGCTGTTAAGTTAAAGTCAATAAACACTGGTATCTAGTTAGTAATGGGGCACAGGGAAATGAAGAATGACTCCCAAGTACCCGGCCTGGGTAATTGGGTGAACTGTGGTGTCGTTTATATAGCTAACATCATATAGCACCGTGCTGGGCACCATACATGAATTTACCCATTTAATCCTTTTAACAGCTCCATGAGATAGTATTATTCTTATATCCATTTTATAGACAGGAACCTGAGGCACAGAAAGGTTAAGTAAGTTGCCCAAGGTCACACAGCTAGTGACAGAATCAGGATTTAGACTCAGGCAGTCTGAGTACAGAATCCACATTCTTAACCAATGCTATTAGACTGTGATTTACTAAAATGTAGAGTACAGAGGGAGTAGCAAATTTGGGTAAGCATGACAAGTCCAGTTTGGGACCTGTTGAGCTTGAGATGCATGTAAAGGATCCATGCAAAGTTCAGAAGGTAGCTGGACAAATGCAGGTGGGGTAAAACTATGGGTTTTAAAAGTGATCCTTTATAACAAGATATTACTTTTGGAAAATTTCAATGGATGTATTTTTCATTTGCCGTAAATCTGGTGCTCTGGGACTCCCCTTACACAGGATCAATGGGATTCAATGTTTCAGGGAAGAGTGAGACGCCAACGAGGCATCCAAGTCATCCCTCAGCTTTGACTATCAGTTTCTGTTCAGTCCATCGTGAGATAAGAGTTTTGAGGGTCAAGTTTTATCGAAAGACAAGCAGAATTTCTGAATAGTGACAGCTCCCTTTTCAAGCACCAGTCCTGTCAAGTCAGACCGTTGAGAATTGTCATGATTGTTCAGCTGAGAGCACACAGGTATCAGAGCCAATATTTGCTCTGACTGATGGGCATCCATTCTGATTGGTGGATTCCGTGTCATGCCCACCCAACAGGAAATGAGGAGGAGGAGGCAAAAGGTAGGAGAAAAGACAAGGAGTCAGTGACAAAAGTCCGGGTCCACAGTCAAAAAAACTTGTCAAGTGAGTGAGCATGATTGTTTAAAATATTTTGGAGCAGAGGAGCAGGATGAGATAATCCAAAATCTAACAGGACCCCAGATTTGTTCAAGGAGAGTCAAAGAAGGTTGCAGCCAGTGCTCTGCTTCCCTCTCACATCCAACATGGCACAGAGAGGCAGAATAACGTGTCGAAGGCAGGTAACTCGAGAGATATGCCTGAGATAGAGCAGCTAGTTCTGGGTTCTCCACAATCCTATCATGATGTGTTCCCACATGCTCCTGCCACCTCACTGCCATGCCTCACCTGTCCAGTGGGGAAAGAAACATGATCAGGGTGACTCACAGCAAGGTTGCTATGGACACCCAAGGCAGGGACCTGGCAGAGGATGTGACTGAGACTCCAAGGGCCTGCAGCTCCAGCACCATTGAACGCTCTGGTGAGCCTGATATCTTTCAACTCCCTGTGCATGGCCGAGAAAACCAAGCACAGCTCCACTGGCCATAGACTTCATTGACTGGCGCCAGGACCAAACACTCGGGGATCGGATTAAATCAGCTCACCACATAGAAACCAGCAAAGACCCATTGACCAGCATGAAGATCCAGAGCTTCTCACCTCCTGCCGTGATGTCATATGAGCTCCCTGCCAAACACAGCGCCATTTTGAAGGAGGAGGAGCGAGAGGGGAGAAAGAGCTCTGGCAGGGAAGTGAACTTTAAGTTGATTGAATATTTACTTGGAAGAGACTTTTTAATCTAAAAGAGATTATTATAAACCAAAAGAGCCTGAGGTAACTTTAACTGCAAGACCAAGTGTTGCTGTTATTCTGGCTATCTAGGAAAACAAAGGTGCGCACTGATACTCTATTTTCTACATCTGAGTGCGTATTATTAGTGAAAAAAAAAATGTCATCCTTTCTCCTGATGTTTCCTTTTATGTGTAGGGAGTTCAGTGAACATAACCCCCGGCCTCTCTCTGCCCGTTTTCTTTTCATTCCTGGAGCGATAGTTTCAAACCTGATTGATAAATTAGCGAATAACTGGGCGTTCGTGGCTAACCAATCTCCTCTTCCTCCTGGAAGGGAGCCTAACAGCAGACAAATTCCCCTCTGTTCTTCCTTTTCCTAGATCCTTCCAGACCCAGTATTGCCTGTGACTGGGTGGGGTGTCTGCCTAATTTGGGGACTCATTTAGCAACGTCCTCCAGTCTCCTTCATAATACTTTGGTCTCCATTTTTTTAATTGAAGATAAAATTAACATAATATGAAATTCACCATTATGCTTTAAAGAATACAATTCAGTGGCTTTTATTACATTCACAATGTCGTGTAACAATCACCACTATGTAATTCCGGAACATTTTTATCAGCCCCCCCCAAAAAACCGCATTCCCATTAAGCAGTCGCTGTCCACACCCTCTACCTCTGGTCTCGGCAACCATTGATCTGCTTTCTGTCTCTAAGGACTTTCCTACAAATGGAATCATATAACGGGTGGCCATTTATGACGGGCTTTTTTCTCTTAGCGTGCTTTAAGGTTAATCCATGTTATTGCATGTATCAGTACTTCATTTCTTTTTGCGCCGGAATAATATTCCATTGTATGGACATACCACATTTTATTTATCCATTCAACAGTTAATGGACGTTGGTATTATTTCTACTTTTTGGCTATTATGTATAATACTGCTACGAATATTCATGTACAAGTTTTTGTTTGAACACTTGTTTTCATTACTCTTGGGTATGTAGCAATTGCCTAGCAGTGCAATTGCTGGGTCATATAATTCTATATTGAACTTTTGAGTAACCGCCAAACTTTCGCACAGCAGTGGCACCATTTTACAGTCCCACCAGCAAAGTATGAGGGTTCCAGTTTCTCCGTATCCTTGCCAACACTTGTTTTTTCCTTTTTTTAAAAAAAATTATAGCCATCCTAGCGGGTGTGAAGTGGTATCTCATTGTGGTTTTGATTTGCATTTCCCTAGTGACTAATGATATTGACAACGTTTTTATGTGCTTGTTAGCCATTTCTATATCTTCTTTGGAGAAATATCTATTCACGTCCTCTCCCCATTTTTAATTGGGTTATCTTTCAGTTGTTAAGTTGTAAAAGTTTTTTATATATTCTGGATTCTAGACCCAGTTCAGATACATGATTTGCAAATATTTTCTCCCATTATATGGGTTGCTTTTCACTTTCTTGATCATGTCCTTCGATGACAAAAGCTTTTATTTTTGATGAAGTCCAATTTATCCATTTTTTCTTTTGTTGCTTGTTCTTTTGTTGTCATATCTAAGAATCCGTTGCCAAATCCAAGGTCATGAAGATTTTTCCTTATATTTTTTTCTAAGAGCTTTCTATTTTAGCTCCTACATTTAGGTCTTTGATCCATTTTGAGTTAATTTTTGTGTATGGTATGAGGTAGCAGTCCAACTTCATTCTTTTGGGTATTTGTTTTGTCCCAGCACAATTTGTTGCAAAGACTATTCTTTCCCTATTGAATACTCTTGGCACCTTTGTCAAAAATCAATTGACCATAGATGTATAGGTTTATTTCTAAACTCTCAATTCTGTTTCATTGATCTATATGTCTATCCTAGTGTTGGCACCACGTCATCTTGATTACGATAGTTTCCTGGTAAGTTTTGAAATTGGAAAGAGTGAGTACTTCAACTTTGTTCTTTTTTTTCAAGTTTGTTTTGAATATTTGGGGTCCCTTGAAATTCCATATGAATTTTAGGGTCAGCTTTTCCATTTCTGCAAAAAAGCCATTGGAATTTTGGTCGATATTGCACTGGATCTGTAGACCACTTTGCGGAGCATTGCCATCTTAAGAAAATTAAGTCTTCCAATTCGCAAACACAGATTATTATAAACCATTTATTTTTTTCCATTTATTTAGGTCTTCTTTAATTTATTTCAGCAATGTTTTATTATTTTCAGTGCACAAGTCTTAGTTAAATTTATTTCTAAGTAGTTTATTCTTTTCTTTTTTCTTCTTTTAGTGAGGAAGATTGGCCCTGAGCTAACATCTGTTGCCAATCTTCCCCCTTTTTTTTTCACTTGAGGAAGATTGTCGCTGAGCTAACATCTGTGCCAGTCTTCCTCTATTTTATGTGGGATGCTGCCACAGCATAGCTTGACAAGCAGTGCTATGTCCACACCCAGGATCCAAACCTGTGAACCCCAGCCATCGAAGTGGAGTGTGTGAACCTAACCACTACACCACCAGACCAGCCCCAGTTTGTTCTTTTTGATGCTATTGTAAATGGAATTGCTTATTTCATTTTTGGATCGTTCAATGCTAGCATATAGAAATACATCTGATTTTTGTATGTTTTTAGTATCCATTTTAAATCCTTGTTTCATTTCTTAGTTTATTCAAAACATGGAAGGGGAAAAGAGCATTAATTGAGACTCTTTCAGAAACCAACACTTGATAGACATACATTTGGTAGCTGAGGACATGGAATGAAGATCAGACAGGAAGAGTGTACACCATGACAAGGAAGCGTCAAGAATGGAACTTTGGTGAACACCAACGATGAGGGGGCAGTTAGAAGGAGAGTCACGCACGCAGGCGTCTGAGAAGCCACAGTCAGAGAAGCAGGAGGAAAACTACATGTTTCGTTCTTTATTGCCATGTAAAGTCCACCACAAAACTTGAGGCTTAAAACAACAACTAGACCAGCTCTGCTTTCCCTCTTTTTCATGTACCAGGCTTAGTATTTGACAAAACAGTTTTGCCCAAAATAAAATAAGTCTAGATACCACTAAATTAGATTTATGTGTTCTTTTAGTCCCAAGATTTAAAGGTTTGATGTCGCTGATGAGGAGGTAATGGGCTAGGGCAGTGGTTTGCTAGTTAATGTTTAACAACCGGCTCTCTAGAAAGAAAAAGCCCTGACCTGTAGCCTTCGCCAACTTCCATGGCATGAATAGCCCCACCATGACTGATTTCAAGATGCCGAGGTGCTGTCACTGAATGCAGAGTTGGGAAAAGAGTGCAACAGTCCAGCGTTCTTCAGTATTTCCACCAGACAGATGAAATCGGCATAAATAACCTTAACAGTGTAGATAATAGTGGCAAGTTTTGAGTATTTATCACCTCTGTGTTTAATATAATTTATTTTAAGTTCATATAATTTGATTTTTAATTACGGCTATGTTTAAGAATTGACTCACAAATTTCCTGAAAATCAAACAATTGGCTCTCATGAGCTAGCACAGGTCGGCTTCAGTCAGGGCTGGAGGTACACTTTGAGCTAGGGGACATGTCCTTGCATAAAAAGAAGAACGGGGAAATGAGGTCAGACGGACCTCTCTCAGACTTATTTATGAAAACTTGGGCAACTCACTGAATCTCAGTTTCTTCATCAGTAAAATGGGATAATATTTATCTCTCAAGGTTCTTATATAGATTAGAGATAAATACGTAGTCTGATCCATAAGAGGTGTTCAAAAGTGCTAGTTTAGGGGCCAGCCCGGTGGTGTAGTGGTTAAGTTCATGAGCTCCGCTTCGGGGGTTAATGGGTTTGGATCCCGGGCATGGACCTACACACCACTCATCAAGCCATGCTGTGGCGGTGTCCTACAATCAAAATAGGGGAAGATTGGAATGAATGTTTGCTCAGGGACAATCTTCCTTACAAAAAAAAAAAAAGTGCTAGTTTAATATTATTTTTCTGTTTTTAAGCATTTCCAAATTTAAGCATAGCTTCAATTTTCCTTAGTACACAGAAATACAGTTGAGAGTTACCCAGGGCGCAACTGGGAGTTCCAAGTCCCACATTAGGTATAGCATTTGTGCGAGGACACAGATGCAACTCAGTTTCACTTATTAGACACTTTGCACGGGCAGAGCCTTGGAAATCTTGCCCCCGGGAGCTTGGGAAGAGGGCGAGCAGAGAATCAGGCTCACGGCCGCCCTAGAAATTGAGGAATCAGCCTGTGGTTATGTGTCCCCCCTGCAAGGCCTGCCTCAATCCCCAAGTGTATTCCCAACAGACTGCTCAGAAACTTGACAATTCTACCCTTTAAATTTCAAATATGTTACCTAAAGGGAGCAAAGGTTTGCCCTGAGCACATCACAGGGATCAGCTTATCGGTCAGCCTGGAGGGCAGAGAGCAGGACCCCAGAGAAATGTCATCTGAGGCGGGTATGTGGTTCCGGGACCGAGTAAGGGAGGACTGGGGCAAAGTTTCCGACATGGAGTGGGACTTTGCAGGGGCCTGTTGGGGTATGAAGGAAGGAAAAGCTACAGAGCAGCAGTGGCAGGGAAGGGTCAAGAAGAGACACAAAACCAGTTCTGCCCCACCTCCCAGAGCTGCGTAGAGTCTGGTTTCACACCACCCCGTGAGAAAGCTAACGTCCTCTTTGCTTTTCTGTCCCCTCAACGGCAAGTGCCAGGGAAACAGTTAATCAGGAAGTAAACGCACAGCAGCTGGCACTCGATCCGCCTTCGACTCACTTGTCAACACTTCGTAGCCTCTTTGGAGAGGCCTGTGGAAAGGTGAACTGAGAGGTATAATCCTTTTGCCCCGGGGAGGCCAGGAGTTTTTTTCCCCTTAGTACACCGGTCACTTACGAAACAGCAGTTGCAATCTATCAGGAAAATGCAGCATTCTGACAAGCTCACCAAAACAGGTCTTACCTCAGAGAGTGGTGGCCAAGAGCGTGTTGGGAAACCTGGCTTTCTGCTCAGCTGGGCGTCCCTGAGCAAGTCGCCTGGCTTCTCTAGGCTTCTGTATCCTTTCTGTAAGTCAGAGATAATAGTACCTACCTTGCAAGGTTGTTGTGGGGAGACAGAATGCAAGTAAAATGCTTTGCCCAGTGGTACCTTATGTAGTAGGTTCTCAATAAATTGGAGCAACTGGTGTTATTACTACTGCCTGTGTGACCTTGGGCAAGTTATTTCATTTTTCTGGGTCTTAGTTTCCTCACGTGTGTATTGTGGGCCAGGTGATCTCGGCGGTGTCTCTGGTTCTAGCATTTTATTATTCCGTGACAAACAAGATTCTTTGCCTGGGCTCTAGTTCTGCCTATCTAATGCAGGAGATTAGGCCGTTTGCTTTTGCTGTTGTAATGCTCAGATAGCAAAGACCTTTGACAGCCAAGAAGGCTTGTTCACCCTTCCCCTTGAACAGAGTTCCAAGGCTCTGGGACAAGGAGCATACTGGGGTGTTTCTCTAACCACAGGATTGGAAGAGGAGAGGCCCTGTGAATGATTATAGTAAAGTGAGAGAGAGAGATGGGTGGACGAAGTCAAAGCTTGTGTCTTCGGGTAGGAGGACACAGAGCGATAGATTGCAGGCAGGTGGAATCCTATTAATGCCCTTAGCCTTGCCTAATATTTTGAGTTGTCCTAATGTCCTTCACTCAGGCATGTAATGGAACAAGGATTGAGTACCTTGGACACAGAGCAGAAGGAAAGGCTTCTTTTCCTCAGACCTGGGTCCCCAGGGCAGGATGTTAAGGAGTTCGGGCTGACTTATTCCCAGCACATCTTGGGTCAACCTCATCTCCATAAAAAAGTAAAGAAAAAAACCCTACAATTATGTGTAGGGCACATTTTCTGCAACCCGTGTTTTCCCACAGCCTCATTTCTTTTGGGGCCTTCCTTAATTTCCATTAGTGATTTCCAGATGTCAGTTAAGGAGCTGGTTTCCAGCTGGTAGAAAGCATTGCTCATTAAGAATACTCACAAGACCCCAGGCTTTTGGATAACAAATCACAGGGCTTCTGTCACCCTCCCAGCTGGAAGGTCTCTGTTAAATGACAAACTTCCTGAAGTTTCTCCCTTCACATCTTGTACTGTGATAAACTTTCAAGATCACATCTCAATTTCTTATACTGTCTCTCACTTTGTGTCACTAATTCCATGCCTCCCTGTCAGTATGAAAGAAGCATCTGTCACAGAAAAATGGCTTGAGTGGGCAAGGGCCACCCACCACTCAGCCACAACCTGGTTGCCATCCTTGTTTGCCTGTCACTCTGTCTGCTGCCCAGACTCAGAGGATGAGAGTTACAAGGGACCTTAGAGATCATGTGTTCTCACTGAAGGCCAGCCTGCTCACTGGTCCATGGCCAGATGTCCATGATCAAGGGCTCGGCTCGCTTGTTTTCTGCAGAGGCCTGTCTCCTTGGCTTGTAGATGCTGCCTCCTCCTTGTGTCCTCATATAGTCTTCCCTCCGTGTGCATGCATCCTTGGTGTCTCTTGGTGTGTCCAAATTTCATTTCTTATAACACTAGTCAGACTGGATTAGGGCCTATCCTAATGCCTCATTTTAACTTAATTACCTCTTTAAAGGCCCTCTCTCCAAGGACAGTCCGTCACTTTCTAAGGTACTGGGGGCTGGGGCTTCAACATATGAATTTTGAGGGGACACAATTCAGCCCAAAACAGTGAGCTTTCCTGCTTCTTTTTGTTGCTGATGTTGAGAAGGAGAATTTCAGAGAAAGAGAAAAATTCAGGAACTATCCAGAGGTTGGCAACTAGAACCAAGAATGTAAGATAAATTAGAAGAACTCAAATCAGTGGGCCTGAAATAGAAAAGGCTGATTTTTTTTTTGATTGAAATATGGGGTGGCTTAAATATGCTCACCATACAACTTGGATGTGCAGGGAAAGTGTTTTCTTTGTGTTGTCGTCTTAGCTGTTGTTATTTGCTAGGTAAAGAGGAGAATTATAACTGAATGCCCAATCCAGCTTAAACCTTTGTCTAAATCAATTAAATAATTGGCCCCTTTTGGATCCTGCTCAAGGTCTCTGATTTCTGATGGCTCCTCCCCTGTTCTCCTAAGGGAGTGTCTGGGCCTTTGTCCCATGGCATCGTTGTGGGGGTAAGAAGTCATGTTGGCTTTATGCAGGCCCTTCAGTGGGTGCTTGTCCCTAGGGATTCATCTGGCACCCACTACTGATGTCTGCAACTGTGGAGCTCCTGGTCTGGGCTCCCTCGCACTTGCCCCCAGCTCCTCACCTCACGTCATCTCCTGGAGCTGTGGACCCTTCAGAGCTCTGCCCCAGCCTCCCTCTGCTGTCCTGGTGCCATGGGCATCAGGGCTGGCTCACTGGCTCTCCAGTGGGAATGGAGGGAGGCTTGGGACTATAGAGGAGACTCTTTCTCTCTGCCTAACAATGTAGCCCACCTTTTGTACCATGTTGGACTGCCCACCCCTGCCTCCTGGACAGAGCAGAGCCTGCTTCCAGAGGTCTCTTCTCAGCTTGTCCAACATGCCTTCCAAAGGGACATCAGAGCACATATCTCACCACTTCCCCTCCTAACTCAGCTTGTGTTCATGGCCTCTTTTTCCCATGATGCCCCAGGACAAGAAGAGGCAGCAAACTTATTTACTTCCTCGGCTTTATGGCTTCCTGGCTCTGACCTAAATATAACCTACAGACTCCTGGCTAAACCTAGCTCATACAGAGTTATCTTCTCTGTCCTATGGGAGTAATTCTATGATCTAGATCAACTTGGAGTTAAAGTTATTTTAGAAAAATCCTTTTCTCACCCCAAACTTAGCATTCTAGTTATTGTCTTGCTGTGAAATCCTATTTTGAATGTCAGAAACCGAATACTAACTCTCTTTCCCTTTGAATTCCTTTAGAAACCATGCTAATCGCTTCACCGGATAAAAGAATTCCTCCACCCAGTAGGGAGAAAGCAAAAGAGAAAAGCACATTAATCCCCCCAATTATGATTCCTGTTACAATAGCTGTGGACTTCTTGATGGGCAAACGCAATTCCCTCAAAGCATTTGCTTAATGTTCTTT